GCATTTGAATTAAAATTACCATACTGAAATCAAATCTGATGTTTTTTACATTTTTATTTGGTGTGCGTTGGAAGAGGAGTCTTCTTATATGGCGAGTATATCCCAAACTTTATATTTTAACTGGAAAAGTTGGGGGTCATCTTATATGCCGGAAAATACGGTAAGTAGCAGTAAAAGCAGTAGTAGTAAGAGTGAGAGCCAGCTCAGTGTAATGGTTTGAGTGCTGGACTAGGACTCTGAGAGGCCAGGGTTCAAATCCCCACTGAGCCATGGAAACTCACAAGGTGACCTTAGGCAAGTCACTCTCTCTCAGCCTTAGAGGAAAGCAATAGCAAACCTTGTTTGAAGAAATCCTGCCAGGAAGACCCTACAACAAGGTCACTATCAGTTGGAGACAACTTGAAGGCACATAATAACAAGTACAGTTGTTGAGCCCTGGTGGAGCAGCAGTTAAATGCCTGTATTGCAGCCATTCACTCACAAACCACAAGGTTGAGAGTTCAATACCAGCCAGGGGCTCAGGCTCAACTCAAGCTTGTATCTTTCCAAGGTCACTAAAATGAGTACCCACCTGTTGGGGGACAATGAGCTTACTGTTGTAAACCGCTTAGACAAGGGGTCGGCAACCCATGGTCCGCGGGCTGCACCTGGCCCACCGACGCCATTTTGGCAAACAAAATGGCGGCCACGATGCACGTGGCGGCGTGGCGGTGGCAGCTGGCGGCGGTGGCAGCGTGGGGGGCTGCGTGCGCGCGCCGCCATTTGCCCCCCACCCGGCCCGGCAGAAGACCTAGGGACCAGCGACCGGCCCCAGGTATGTGAACGTTGCCGATCCCTGGCTTAGACACTGCATAGCATGGTATGAAGTGGTATATAAATGAAGCTGCTATTGCTATTGCTACAGTTGGCTCTTCGTATATGCAGGGGTCCCACCTGGACCGCCCAGGAGTTGCAAAATCTGTGGGACATCAAGTCCTGTTGTTTTGCATGCACATGCCACCATTGGAGAGAATGGGGTGGGGTCAACTCCTGACGTTCCAATCCACAGATGGCAAGCCCACAGAAGACGAGAGACAAATGTAGTAGTAGTGGTATCTGAGCTCACTGCTTGTGTTACAGTGGATTTGCCTGAACTAAGAAATGAACAAGGCCAGATCCTGAGAAAACAATGAGAACAGCTGTACTAAATAAGACCTATCTAGTCCAGCATTGGTTCCCACAATCTCAACCAGGTGCCTTGCAAAATCACAAGAACATCATGAGTGCTTTTATCTCACTTTATCACTTTATCTCACATGCATCCTTCTAGTTATTTACTTTACTATCTGGGGCAGGGGTGGGCAAAGTTCAGCCCAAGGGCCAAGTGTAGCCTCCAGGGCTGTTTCTGTGCCCCAGGAGTCATTGCTTCAAAATGACCTCTTGGTGGTGTGGAGGGCATTTCCACCATGTTTGGAGGCCCAGCATAGGTAAAACAAACAAACAAACAAACAAACCAAAACATTTTCATTTAAAAAATGTCCCAAAATGCCCTCTGGGGGCAGTGGAGGTATTTCCGCTATGTTTTGAGGGCTTCCTGGGGTACTAATGTGCCCCCTTAGTTTTCCACAAGTCCCCAACTCTGATCTCGGGATTGCCTTCAGCCAACCAATGCAAATGCAGCATCCACTCTGTGTAGCCCTGGTTGTCATCTCCATTCACTGCTACACAGATCAGTAAACAGTAAACAGATCACCTAAATTGCCTCTCAGATCTGGAAATAACATCCTAAGAGGAATGACTTAGGAAGCCAGGTATGTTTATCTTGGAGAAGAGAAAAGGTGACATGATAGCCATCTTTAAATATCTGAAGGATGCTATATAGAAGCATAGCATCCTTCAGATGCCATGGAGTGAGCTTGTTTTCTACTGAAACAAAGTCTGGGCTGTGAACCAATAGATTCCAATTACAAAGAAAAAGGATTCCACCAAATTATTAGAAAGAGCTACTTTAATACTGTTTGAGAATGGGAGAGATTGCCTCAGAGGATGGTGGATTCTCCTCCTTTGGAGGAATTTAATAGAGGCTGGATACACATTTTTCGTGAGTGTTTTAGTTGTGTATTCCTGTATGGCAGAGGGTTGGACTATATGGTCCTCGTAGTCCCTTCCAACTCTATGATTCTAACATTCAACAGTAAAAGCTGATCAAGTATTCCCAATGCCATAAAAAATTCCTGTTTCTGGGAAATTTAGCACATTACTAGTGCGATACTGTACATTTGGGAACTGTTAGTATTCTAGTTCACTGGAGTAGAACATGACTTTGTTGAATCAAATATTTTAACAGTAAATTCTCAATAGTACACTTTATCTGCACAGGCCAGCAGATAGAACCATGGTGTGCTGCATAAACACTTCTTAGAAAGAGATAAATATTTGCACACGCTTGCAGTTCTATACTCCTATAAAATGAATGTGATTCCAATTGTAGCAACACCTTTCTAATTACATGAATAACGTCAAGGTTTACAGCTGTTTGAACTCACACTGTGTGCCTTTCATCTCTGACCACCTACAGTAAAATGCAAGCCTGCCAAGATAGACAAGACATATAAGGATAAACCAAACAGCAAATCAGCTAATTTGATACGTTTCCTCCATCCATAAGAGAGGTTTTTTCATTCTTGCTACTGCAGAATAAAACTTTCTGCTTTTAACATGTGCCTGATAAGCAGATATTTGACAAATGAAACCTCTACAACCTTGTAGACAGTTTTCTAATGAAGATGTAGGAATGAAGTGGCCCTCCAGATGTTGTATTGCAAGTCCTAGCATTCCTTACCACTGACCATACTGCATAGAGCTGCTGGCACCTGTTGTCCAGTGACATCTTGAAAACCACATGATTTCTATCCCTGCTTTAAAGGGTTTATCTAGGAAGAGAACCTAATGCAACAATAACCCCAAATCAAATGAAAACAAAAGGTAATGCTCCATTCACTCTGAACTCATATATTAAAACATACCAGAGTTCCCTGCACTGGAAACTTGCTAAGGCCTTCTGCTCAAAGAAAAGGTGTCTAGAAGTCTCTCTTAATTTTTTACAATGAGGAGGAACCAACATAGATCATTTCTTAAAATATGATTTTCAAAGAGAGGAATGATGATATCACTGATATTATCTACCAGTTTTTCCACTTTTTTTGCCTAGTTCTGTTCCAACAAATCTAGAACCACTTTTATTTCCAGCAAATAGTCCCCTACTACAGGTGCCTGATAAAGAAAAATCTAGTTCATTACATGCATTACTTGTTAACAGATTCTTCAATTCATATGCATATTAAATCCATATAAAACTGAGTAAGAACAATAGGACTGAAAGGAAAAACAACAGCTTTGAAGGGAAGAAAAATGTTTTGTAAAACAATATATTCATATGTTGCAGCCAGCACCATCACAGAAAGTTCCTACATGGAATAAAAAAATCTGAACTTTAGAGAGCACATACCACCCGCGCATATTAAGAAAGTACTAACAACATATGCAATTTTACTAAAACTGGGCTATGTTTTTAACAGATTATCCATTATCTCAAAATTCAAAAACAGTTTCTACCATGCCATTCTTCTTCTAAAGCTATACAAAAAGTACTCCTGCTCATATAAATTCCAGAGTACCCTAAAGTCTTTTCATGGTCTTTTGGAAAAAAGTAACTGAATTGCACTTTATACAGAAAAATCCATCTGTTGACCTTTAGCTCATGTTTGCAGGACCAGACTAAGATGTGAATATTTTTCTTGCCACTATTAACAGCCAATAAGCAGATATTCAGCAAGTATTATACTGTTTTCATCACTGCATTAATGTGCTGAGAAAAGCTTCACTGGTGGAATTTCTGTTCGCCACATGGCTAAGGCAAGATTGTGATATTGTCAGGAGTCTGGGGATGGAGGTAGAAGACTTTGGAAGGCTATAATTCCCCACACAAAAAAAAAATTCCAAAAAAATTGGCACCAAACATACTATAGTAGAGTGGAGAGCATTCTCACCACATTTTCAGCCCTCTTTGGGCAATTTTATGAGCATGAGAGGATTTTATTTCTAATAGGAAGTGATCTGGAAGTTGACATCATAGTCACTTCCTATTGTAAAAAAAGAACTGGGATGTCAGAAATGTAGCCAAATTTGCTCCTCATCCCCCAAGAGTATTTGGGAACATTTGGAGGGAGGGGAAGTGGGGGCCACAAAAATGGCCCTGGATTCTACACGTCATGCTCTCCCCACCATGGCCTAAAGGTACAAGCAGCTCCTGTAGAATTAAAAACATGACAAAAACTAGACAACCCTACTCTAGTTCCAACTTCTTCCTTGTCCAACATATTCTGCTATTGCAATTAATAATTCCTAACAATGCAGCTACTAACCTCTATACATGCCGAAATACCCTTCGGACCGGATTGTCTTAATGAGGCAGTCAGACCTGTTGAAAAGGTGGATGGAGAAAGAGAGGAAAGAGAGAAAGCAAGTGAGCAATCAAACCCTAAAACCATTGTTTCAGCATAGGCCAGGTGCAGCACAATTTCAGTCTCTTGATGCAAGAACTTCACTTTTCTGGAGAAAACTCACAAGGAAGCAGAGAAAGGACTGCTGTACTAAACTGTACTAAATATAAATTGCACCTGAAAGCATGATAAGGAGTGCTTTAGTTGGACCAGATGGTCTAGCCAGCAGCCATTTTTCTTGTATTAGTCATTTTGCTACAGATGGAAAAGGAAGTTCATTTCACATTTCATGTTTTCAAGCCTTCATTACAATGGTTGGCAGAATTCAGACACTTTCCTGTTCTATGCTGGTAGAAGAATCTCCTTCGCTCAAAGCCTTTCAACCTTTAAAAATAGTTCCCATTTGCAAACAGGTTTTATATAAGCCTTTTCTTTAAAAAGGGGAGGGGGAATAAAGTCCAGGTGCAGCAAAGAATAACACAAAGGAAAAATAATATATTCTTATTGTCTTTCATAATAAACATAAGCACCTGTCTAGGGAATCAGTCTTACCCAGTTTAAAACAAAAAGTCACATGCAAACTCCTTTCCTGACCTACAGATTTATTGGGCATATTCTACTTTGGATCTCAGTGCTCTTTGCCAATAAAACCTAAAAATCCTTTTAATGTGTGACCTAGTCTGTTAAGAAACCTGAAGCATGAAAGGGCTTGCTTCGTTTTTCTTTACATGCTTCAACTGTTAACATCACACTGTCAACAGTTAAAAGAAGATATTCACCTACTCCTTT